GAGAGGGAGAGGGAGAGGGAGAAGGAGAAGGAGAAGGAGAGACAGGGGAATTGTGTCAGTGGGACATGCATACGGTCTGACATACAAAAGGTTTTGCTTGCTCAGCAGTACAAGATGGAGGTTCCGGCTTAGCGGCAGGATTTTCAGAAAAGTCCGGACCTTCTTGCCATGCGGTTGCCAACATGACCCCAAGCAGTCAGACGACCACCACACAAGAAGATGGTTCGATGAACTGAAGACTCTTACACCGCCCACGGGCTGCTGTGGCAGATCCCAGAAGGAGTAAACGCCTCGGCAGTCGAAGAGTCCCCCATCCCAAGTGGTCAAGTCGAGACCTGAGGTGCAGGTCCAGCGAACTGCGCAGGACACCGTGGGCGTCTTTCTCCTCTGAGAGTAAGATGGCCAAAGCAGGCTTGAAAGATCTGGTAAAGTTCGTAAAGAATACCCCTGTTCCTCATGAGCTTGTGGTTCTGGGACCGTTCTTCACCCAAAGCGTGGACAAAGGAAGCTGGGCGTGCGGCAGAAAGCTTTTGGGATCTTTTCGGTACCAAAGTGAACTCAGCCCTGCGAAGAGCTGTGAAATTATGACTTTTCACAGATTTTGCAAGGTTCATTGCAGCCTTTCGAGGCGGGGTTCCCCTCCGAATTCTTCCAGACTGTTGCGCCGAACCACACAACAAAACAATTCAGGAAATGCTGGGCACGCGCCCTGGCCCGACGCATCCCTAGCCCTAGGTTTCCCAAGCTTGCAAAAAGCGTGCTTTGCAAACGTGGCACATCCGAGGCAGTCGGAAAGAAGATTTCATTCACCCCTGAACCCGACCTCTCCACCTCCTTTTCGCCGCAGGAGGCAGAAGGCATCCTTCGACAGGCGCTGCAGGAGCTGATTACCGAGGCCAGCAGGGAAGGACAGGCTGTGACATGTTCCTCAGGAACCTGCGTGAACCCTAAAGTCCAAAAGCCCCGCTTTAACCGACACTTACTGCAGCAGGCATCCGAATAGGGTGCAGCGTTCTCAGGTGGAGCGAGTTTGGGGGAAGGGCGTGCAGGGTGTGAACGCCTAGGCTACAGCAGGAAGCTTGAGATGTGGTGCACGTGGGCCTTTTGTTTGTGTTGTGCTGGGCCGGGCCCGGCCGGGCCGTGTGTTGTCGTGTGGTATTGGTATTGGTGTTGGTTTTGGTTGCGTCTATGCGTTGATGAATGATGGGTGGATGCGAGGTAGGCGGGATGGGGTCCGCGGCGTTGTAGCACAGTCCTCTAAACCCAAAGCCGCGACTTTAGACTAGCAGGCTTCCTGGTTCCAGGTTCATTGAGACTAGCTGCCTTTGGGCCGTGAGTCTTCTCACTCCGGCAGGATGGCATGTGGGCACTGAAACGCAAATTTCATATCGATCCTGAGTTGCTATGCCCGACTTGAGTTATGGTATATTGTGTCTGTAGGCCCCAAAGAAACGACATCTCGAACCCCGAACTCGGCCAAGGCGAGCACTTCGCCGGGCCTTTCATCCATCATGGTTTTGGGGTTTAGGGCGATGGCAAGCCGCACAAGCCTGAGCCCATGAATTCAAGAGCCTATCGGCTGCCAAATCTCGACAACGCCGGATTTTCTTCAAAAACTTATTGAATGCTAAATTAGACCTTTTCTGGTCGTCACGATCTCGGAGTGTCCTAGACCATCTACACAATTCGCGTATCTCTTTGCCATGAATTTGTGAATAATGTTACCTCTGTGCAACGTTGCCTTGTAGAGGTTGTTGCCATCTGCAGACACTCCTGCTTGAGCCTTCCTGCACTGCAGTCACATACCGACCCGAGAGCTCTAGCGAGAGCGTATAGTATACCTAGGACAGGGGAGTCCCGCTTCGACCCCGTTAGTCCAGCCTTCTCCAACATTGAAGTCCGCCATTAAAGTTTTCTACTCCGTTGGCGTTGATACAAAACCCTACCTGTTGCAATAGAAGAAGCCTTGCGCGGACCAAAAGCCTAGCCTGAGACTCATCAGCTATTTCTTCGATCCTAAACCCGACCGATCTAAAACCCTCCGCAGCCGCCACCCAGATCAGTGCCTTCCAAGATGAAAATTGCGCAATTGATTCACGAACCTGTTGAAGTGTCGGATATAGGATTTAGGGTCGGGACCAGGCAAAGACCATGAAGCTGCCGGCAGGGAAGAAGGCCTGATCAATTGTAAATGGCTTTCCAACTGAGGAGCTTCAGGGTTGAGTGAACTTTGAGCTTCACACCAGGGTTTAGGAGAGGCACAGAGGTTTAGACATCAGGGTGCGGCTTGGTAAACGGGAGCATAGACAGAGTTCTGCTATTTCATGCTTAGTAAGCCCGCCTTTCTGCATCCCCATGTATAAAGGGCCTCAAGCCTGAGAGCTTTACGGGTTGAATCCTATGGCCGTCCACGAAGACCCCGAGTCGTCCCTCGGTCAGATTTTCGAAACCGTCAGGAACCCCGAGCAATGCGCACTCTGACCCCAAAAGCACCAGCCCCTACGCCCATTGTCAACGACAAACTCTCTAGACTCTAGACCTTATGGAGCCCTAAACCCCTTGTTGGGTATCTGTGTTTTGGTTTGCTGCTACAACACTGAGCTCACACATGTCAGAGTAGAAAGCTGAGCGGAGTTAGCCAGATCTGTGCCTGAGGCGTGCGAGTTTGCGAGTCGAAACTAAGCCCGGAAAGGCCGGAAAAGACCTATGTTTAAAGCTCCTCCTGCATGCCAGGCGAGCACGGCGGCGCTGCAGCCAAGCCCAAAGTTCAGCTCACTCTGCAAGGACCAGGGTTTAATGCGGGGTCTTGGGGTCACCCGAGGCGGGTGCAAGGACTATGGAAAAGTTTTTATTGTTTGGACTTGGGGAATTGGGCTGTTTTGGAGCCTGTTGGTGTTGGGTGCTTTGGAGCCCCGATGGTGTTGGACTATTTATGTGGTTCAGAGACTAGGACACGGTCCACTGGGGCATGGCTTTTTTCGGATCTAGTGAATCCAGTGCGTGTTGGGTAAGACCTACTTAAAAAGAAGCTGGATGAGCCAAACCGCTGTCGAGACGAGTGGCCGCCCACTGGAGAACAAGCTGTTGGCTCTTTCAGCGATTCTCGAAGAGCGCTCGTGTCCAATGTTCCATGCATCCCGACTGCCAGCGTGCATTCCTGTGCGTCCGAGTTGAAGATCCGAAAGAAAGCGCCCACAGCCTAGGGCGCTTTCTGCTTTCTCAGAAGATCTGCTCTTTGAATTAGCAGTATTGCTGAGACTCTGGGAACTACTCGCCGTAATGAGCCCCGAGAGCCACTACCACTAAGGTTGTAGTCCGATACCTCCGCACCTCATGTGCAGAATCCAGAGCCCTGAATCTACGACGTAGCCATATCGGCGCCAAGTGTTTGACTAGAGCGCGAGCATTCCCCGCACCTTCCGAGCTGTTCCGACAATGCCGGGTGCCAAGCCTCGCTGCCTCCTCATCGGCGGCCAGTTCACCGGGAATTTTTGCGCAAGGGAGCTAAAGAAGCAGTTCTATGTCACGGTGATTGATGCGAAGGAGTACTTCGAGTACACCCCTGGAGTTCTCCGGGCCTTTGTGAGGCCTGCTCACTTGGACTCCTTGACCTTCACCTTGCAGCCAGTGTACGAGCGCAAGATGGGCGTGAAGTTCATCTGGGGAGAAGTCAAAGAGCTCAATGGTGACAGGAAGACCGCCATCGTGAAGACCATGTTCTCGAACAACATGGATGAGATTGGCTTCGACTATTGCATCATCTGCTCAGGCTGCAACTTCGGGCCCTTCAAGCCCATGGGTGAGAGCCTTTGGTTCCCAACCGTACATGAGGAGGGACGGGCCGTCAGCGACTGGAAGCACATCGACGAGCGCTTCCTAGAGGGCCGCCGCCGTCACGTTCTGGAGGAGTACCACAAGCTCCAGGACCTGAACAAGAAGAAGGCCACGGTTCTCATCGTTGGAGCCGGCTTCATTGGCGTGGAGTGGGCCACGGAGATCGAGCATTTCTTCCCAGATGTCAAGCTGACGATCATCGACTTCTTGCCTCGTTGCTTGGGACCTTTGCCGGACAGCGCTGCCAACTACTGCTCGGAGTACATGAACGCCTGCGGCATCAAGGAATTCTACAGCTGCGGTTATGACCCGAAGAACCCAGACTTCTGGAAGAAGATCGAGCTGCCGAACGGAGCTGACGAGACATACGTTTGCATCGGCGTGAAGGCCTCGAACTACTTCATGCCCAAGAACACATTGTCCGACAAGGGCCCTGGTGGAGGCGGGTGGATCCACTTCAACAAGCACCTGCAGGTCACGGTGAAGCCTTCGGAGGGTGGCGGCGTTTGGGCTGATGGCTCCATCTTCGCGGTTGGCGACTGCAACTACGGCTGCATTGGGGAGCCCGGGAAATGGGAGATGCCACCCGTCCCGAAGATCTCTTATCCCGGCGAGGAGCAGGCCTACCACGCCTGCCTGAACGTCATGCGCTTGGCTAAGAACCAGAAGAACCTCGTGAAGACCTGGTGGCCCTGGGGCGCCGGCATGTTCGCCACGAGCCTGGGCCCTCACGATGCCTGCTTCGTCGCTGGAGCCAACGAGAACAAAGGCTCTGGCTACATGGTGAACTGGTGGATCCCCGCAGCCCTGCAGAAGGAGATCATCGAGACCACCAAGATCGACGAGTGTCGCGACCGTTGTATCGGCATCCTCATTTGGCACTTCGTGCACCACACCCCGGTCCACCTCTTCGGCCGTGGCCCTTGGGTGGTGTAGAGACCCTGGGTGCAGAACTGCGACCCAGGAGCCACTCCGCGATGCCGCGCGGTTTGTTTAAGGTGTCCGGTGCTGTGAGAGCCCCGACCGCAGATTACTTCAGCCTCCGGCTCTAGGACGAGCTTTTGTGAGCGAGTCAACCCAAAAAATTGATCGTGCATTCGTGCATGCAGTGGGATATGCCGCAAGGCGTATGGGGATTCGTGCAGAGCACTGGCCTAGGCCTAGGGCCTAGGCGCTGTGGGACTTTCTGGCTTTGTGGGTCGTCATTGCTGGAAAGAATATCGCTTAGTTGAACTCAACGCTAGAAATCATGGATGCCTTGCTCCTTCAGCAGCTTTTGGTTTCGGGAGAGGAGGTGCATATGTCATGAATCATGGCCCCCACGTTGTGTGTGGGGCTCGAAACTGCCTCAGATTTCAAGCTGGAACCGCGGCGGCGCAGGCAAGCCGTCACCCGAAGACCTGGGAAGCATTTCCAATGCACTGTCGGCAAGAGTTGCGTGTCAAGCCCGAAGCCCTGCGAAAGCCCGACGGAAACCTATTTGTTGCAGGACCTCTCTGAGTGCACGACCGCACAGAAGGGTGGCGGCATGTCGGGGGCTGATTGGGGTCCCTGTCTTAGGGATCCTTACTTTCAGGGTTGCTTCTGGCCTACATGCGGGGTTTGGCAGGGCTTCAGAGTAAAACTCTTATCCTCCTGTACCGTCCCAAACCTGTAGTCGGAGCTCGTTAATTCCAAAGCTCGGAAGGTGCAGGATGGTGTCGACTGATGATTTGCAATTTCCGACTTTGGCATGGGGGTGCAGGGGGCTAGTCCCGACCGGGGAAGCTGAGGGCTGACGCCATGTTTCGACATTTGGGCTTGAGATATCAGGTACAGGTGTTTGTGTTTTGTGCTTGGGATCTCTATGCATAAGCGCGCACACATGTGTGTATGCATGCATGCATGGATGTGTAAGTATGTATGTATATGTATGTATGTAGAGATACGTACATACATACCCGAACGTACAAACCTTGCGCCTCAGCTGCTAGACTTGCAACCTGCATATGAGAAATCCCCATCTTTGGCCAGCACCCCAGCAGAAACGATCCAGCTGGCCCTAGGAAGGAACTCATCAGGAACTCCTGATCTCTGAACACCAAGTCACCACCAAGTCACTTGCATAAACATCCCGAAGCTCCAAACATTAAATCAGCCTCAAACCCGACAAGGGCGAGTGGCGAAGCAACACTAGACATGTGACCCTAGACAGCTCCAAACGCCTTGAAGTACCTGCCTCGGCGCACCCAATGCAATGGGCCAGAAGACCATTGCATTCCACGAGAAGTTAGTGGCAATGAACATCGTAACGCTTGATCATCCTAGGCTCTCACCCTATATCACGGGAGCCCTACAGCACTGCTGTGCCCTAAAGCCCCGTAGCCATTTGGCTCAAGCCATTTTGGCTCAAGTGCCAAAGCGGCTTCTCCCCCCCGTGCTTCTGGGGTGTCCCTCTCGCGTTTGTTCTGAGGCCTTCCTTGCTGCAGCTGTCTCTCGGTGCTCTCGTCCGTTCGTGACCCCCGTGCGTCCCCCGTACACATGGGCACCCCGTTGGACGAACAGGAGACCTTGGATCTCCCCCCGCTTCATGACGACGACGTCAGCCCCGTGGGGGGGGGGCGGCTGTTGGGAGGGGATGAGGATGCGTACATGCGAGAAGCCGCGCATGCGGCGCTTCTGGCGGCGACTGGAGGGGAGGGGAGGGGGGGGATGGGGGAAGTTGGGGGGGGCACGGGACTTCGGAACGCCCTTGCCGCGGCAAACGACGGTGCCTTGGAAGCGGCTCAAAAGCTCCTTAATAAGCACCCCTCTGTTCCTAAACCCAAAGCCTCGGGACCGCAGGGCAGCCCCGGTAAAAAAGCTAGGCCCGAAGGACCTCCTCAAGCAGCTCCCTCTAAAATATCGGCCCCTGGTCTCCAAGCTCCCCCTGTCTTTGGTGGTCCAGGCCCTCCTCCTGCTAAAGATAAGCGCTCCTTGCCAGCCACATACCATATTGGTGATGATGCACCTCCGCCGTGGGCACAGGACCTTCAGCAGGGTCTTTCAAGGTTGGATCGGGGTCAACAAGATACGTTAGAGCAGCTGCAGGTCAACAACAAGACTCTACAGAGCATGTCGGATAAGATTAAGACCTTGGAGACTCGTCAGGACTCGCATCTTGAGAGAACTCAGGCGTTTGAAACCCGCTTATCGACACTGGAAGCAGAGCTGCGGGATCTCAGGTCGCGCAGTCCCAGCATGGCTTCCGGTTCAGGTTATGCCTCGCCCCGAACACCCAAAGAGGGTGTGCACGACGATTGGCAAATTGCACTAGGAGGGTGGGCAGACGCCAGGCGTGATGCTATTGAGGAGGAGGTCAGAGCATGGTTTGCAAGGGCGGAATGCCTTCCTTTGCTTCAGGATGTGCATGTGGGTTCGGTAAGGTCTAACACGTGTCGTGTCGACCTGCTGTACATGCAGCCTAATCTCAGGGACAGAAGAAAGGTACAGAACTTGTGCGTAGAGGCCCTACGAAATGCTAGCAGGCCGAGCGACATACCTGGCCAACCCCCTCGCCCCCTCTGGGCCAAACGCAACCGAAGCCCGGCAGAGCGAGCTAGAATCCGCGCCATCGTGACCATCAAGGCTTGATAACGAGATTTCTGGGTGAAGCGGACTTTGAGTTTGACTGGCGAGGACGCTTCTGGGTCAAGGGGGTTAGCATCTTAGCACATTGGGATGACAAGAAACCAACAGAAGGGGGTTTGCTGCTTCTGGATGCTCGAGGCTCGGAGACGGGCTGGTGGATTCCGGGCCCCCAGGTTGCGCAGTTGATAGGCACAACGTTGGAGGTAGTACATGCACATTTTGAAGTTGAGGTGTCTCAAAGCTAGGGGGTAGGCCGGAACAAGCGTGTTTTTCCGAAGAACGAATTTGTTTGTTGCACGTGGAACCTTCATGGCAAAGCTATAGAGGACCTTTCTAATTTGTGGGAGGGCATGGTGCAACTTCCTGATGTCCTCTGTGTGCAAGAACTAGGCGGGGTCAAAGATGCCACCCCCGAAGTCACTTCTCGTCCGTGTCTGCTTGGTCGTACGTCGTACACGATGTACGTATGTTCGGCGGAGGAGGCCTTCAGATGTCAGGCGGTGTTGGTACGTGCCGACATAGGTCTGACAGTAAAGTCCCGTATAGCCTTGAAAGCTGGAATTCTTTTGCATGTTGCATGTCCCCAGCACGTTTTGCATGTTGCATGCCTCCACCTTCCTCACAGCAAAAGAGCGAGCACTGATCTGCGACCGGATGCGGACGCAGAAACGGTTTGGAGACGCACCCTTGAAGGGCTTGACGAAGGAACCCGAGACGCGCAGCCCCAGGACGTCATCTTGATCGGAGCGGATGTGAACCAGGACCTCCACGCTAGCGTTGATGAGTTTCCCGGGATGGGTTTGCTGAGGGCTCTCATCTCCAAACATGATCTGCGGTATAACCGTTCTGTGGGCCACACCTGGAGTGCAAGGGGCGTAAGCAGCGAAATTGACTTCATCCTGCTGCGAGCGCATAGGGTTCAAGTTGTGTCGTTCAAACGAGATGACATGAAAGAAGCTCTGCCTTCAGACCACTCGCCGGTTTTCAGCGTCATCCGCACACCCCGCCCCCTAGTGAACCGAGCGATGAGACCCAGAACGCAGTGCGGTAGGTGGTGTACCTCTCCCGGACCGTTGGAAGCATATGCAAAAGCTGAGGTTCCCTTTGACCCTGCTGAATTCGCGAATTTATGTGCAAGCCACTCGACCCGCCCCGTTTCCCTGCGGTACCAGGACTCTCCCGAACTCAAGCAGTCCATTAGAGAGAGGCGGGAGACAAATGATCCGCAGGTAAAGGCGGCCCTGCTGTGCAAGGTCCGTCACCAGCGGGCCTTGGACAAGGCGGACCACAAAATCAAGATCCTCGAGGATGCCCGCGCGGGAGACCGAAAGGCTATAACCTACCTTCGTAAGAGTGCGGCACAACGCTCCTTCGAAACGAGCTACATCGAGCTTAGAGGCGGGCAACAACAAGCGGCACACGAACTTCAGCAGTTTTATGAAGCTAAGTACTCCTCCTTTTTGCCCGCTCCTACTAAGGAAGCTGTCGACCAGATGCTTCGTACTCATACATCGATCCAACCACGACCTTTCCATGAGGACGAACTTGCAGCAGCCATTGCTAGATGCAAACCACGTACGAGCTCAGGCATGGACGGAGTGTGTTACGAGGCTATTAAAACGTACCACCGGCAGGACTCTCGAGGCAAGCTACTGCAGTACTTCAATCGCTTACTACATGACGAGCTTGCAGTGCCTTCGAATTGGGCGGAAGCCAAGGTAGTTCTATTGCCCAAGACTCCCGCTCCAGCATGCCCTTCTGACCTGCGCCCTATCTGTCTCTCCCCTTGCTTATCAAAGGTCTTTGGGAGACTCATCATGAACAGGGTCGCAGCACGATGCCCGCCTTTCGCGAGTGGTCAACTGGGCTGTAGGAAGGGCACCCAAACGGTTGACGGTATCTTGGCAGCCCAGACAGTGGTAGGGATTCTCAGGCGTAAGCATGGGGTTGAGGCACATGTCGCCAAGTTGGACATACGTGCAGCCTTTGACAGCTTGGCACATTCGGCAGTTGTCCGCTACCTGGCAGAGTGCGAGCCGTGCCCTGAGGCAGGCCTCCTTTGGAAGTTATGCTCGGCGAATCGTCTGCACATGTCCCTAGGGACCCATTCCTGGCAAGTCCCGGTGAAGCAAGGCATCATGCAAGGAAGCAGCTACTCAGCCGACCTGTTTGCCAGGGTAATAGATAGACACATAAGGGGGCTACAGCCGAGATGGAATGCAATGTTCCCGGCCTGGGAGGACGGACTTTGCCTCCCACACTTTTTGCTATATGCCGATGATATTTTGTTGTTCGCGATGAGTGCAGCAGAGCTCCAGAGGAAGTTGCGAGACTTGACGGACAGCTTACAGTGCATCGGCCTTTTCATTAATGCGAGGAAGTGTCAGGTCCTGAACATCAAAGGGGTTACTCCAGGTGTGTGGCCGAGAAACAGCGCCGTCCCGCTGGAGGGGCGTGACGCCCTCACTTTCTTGGGGGTCCCCCTCAGACACACCAACGACCCTGAATCCATGCTTACACACTCTTTGCGTAAAATGACGAATTCGTATTTCGCCATGAAAAAGCTGCTTGATCACCCCTCCACGCCCCATAGGTTGAAAGCGACGCTCTTCGAAAGTTACGTTTCCTCCCGCTGGTCGTGGTGTAGCTCAGTGGTGTGGCCCACTGTCAGGTCCCTTAGATCTCTTGAAGGCCTCAAGAACTCACTTTTGCTGGGAATCTTCAGGTTTGCTCCGGACCCCTTCAGCACATGGGTTGAAAACACGCAGGGGGTTAGAAGAGCTCTGAAGTTGTACTGTGATAGGTTCTCCGGACCCCGCTGGCAGGTGACGTGGCTCACTAGGATATGGACCTATATGGGTCACTTGGCACGCTGTCAGGTGGATACGCCACTTACAGTCTTGGTGCGCACCCTTAGCTCGCACAAACTAGCGCTTCGAACGCTGCGCCCTTCGTGGCTCAGTGAATGCCCGCTCCATAAGTTCAGGCTGTTCTACTCCCGGGTCAGGCAAGATGGCGAACATGAACACTGGGAGTGGCAGGCGTCCAACCGTGCAGGCTGGAGTAACATGCTACCGAGATGGCTGGCGGCCTGGAACGCGGGCCTCCCGACTCCGGATACTTCGGAGTTCCTTCAGGGTAGGCAGCTTGTAGTTGTGAAGGGAGGGACGGCGGCACTACGCCCTCGGCGAGATGTGTTGGAAGAGGGGTACAGCAGGGGATTGATTACCATTGCCCCCTGGAGGGCTAATAATTGCGTCTCCAGTACGATCTGGGTAGCACACCGGATAGGCTGGCCTACTGCATGCGTATACCTCTTTCACAAAAATCGGAAGGCACAATCGGCCTCGGTCCTCCACGTCCCAATGTCCCACAGGAATGGTGAGCTTTCAATACTCCCCTTGCTTAACCTGGTGTGCGAGCTACTGTTAGGACTTGTGACACGTGACTCCTTCGTGCAGACAGCGGTGGTCATACCACCGTATCTTCTCCCCCGCTATGTGCTCGAGGGCAACAGAGATGCGCGGGACGTGGACGCCGCCAAGTTCACGAGACTGTGTCAGGAGACCGAGTTGCTGTCACGAGCCTTTGTGCCCCCTAAGAAGCTGCCCCAAAGATGGAGTCTGCAATTAGGTTTCGAACCCCAGGCAGTTCCCCCCCCGTGGCAGGTCATGTTCCGCACTGCTGATTTTCACCAGGTACGATACTTCACGGAACCCAGATCAGCGTGTTTGATTGCACTCCGACCGCAACTGTTGTGAGCTCAAAGCAAACAGGGAAGCTGCTTAGGTCTCGCCATGCCCACTAAGAAGCCTCGCCTAGAAGCGGAGGTAGCAGCCCTTGCAATATTGGACAGGGATGATTTTGTCACCAAAGCCGAAGTGGTCCAAGTGATGAATACGATCCCTAGTCCTGAATGGGGGTCTCGCTACGGGGGCAAAGCCCTGTCCTTTGGGGCATACCAGCGGGTAGCCGTTGGTGTGCGCACGTGCTGCAGGCGTTACCCCATCACGACTCGACTCCTCACAAGGCTAGTTCGGCAGTGGGCCCCCCAGGTTCGTTTCACCACGGTGACCGTCATGCTGGATGTCAACTCGCCGTTGCACACCGACCCGGGTAACTCCGATGTCCCAGGGATGGTGATGGCGTTGACAACCGCGTTTACAGGAGGGGAGCTATGGGTGGAACACAACCAGGGCACAACCACGATGTACCGTAATGGCGACCCCACAGGGGCATCCAGATCGACATAGCCAGCCCGTTTGTCTTCTCGGCGAAACGGGTTCTGCATGGAACCTGCAGGTGGGAAGGATCGCGCATGACTATCGCAGCCTATAGCACAGCGAACAGCGCGACGAACCTGGGAGAAGACCTGACGTTCCGTCTGACATCAATGGGCTTTTTCCCTCCCACAGTGCAGGACGAGGACAGATTTCGACTGGAAACTTGGGGAGCGGTCGTGACTAGGCAGCTACGCCTGGACCAAGCTGGGAGATGGCCAGCAGGGGTCCTCCTCCAACATGGACCAATTACAGTGGACCTGGAAGACCCTTGCCCTCCGACCCTGGTTATAGAGTCTGAGTCAGAAGAGGATGTCGTTAGCGTGTGTGCAGGACCTGGCTCTCCGGAGCCGGATTTCTGGGATTGCGTGCTTTCGGATCCGGACTTTGATGATATTGATGGGGTTTGGTTTTAATCCTGCCTGACCATGTTGGCTTCGTTTTGTTTCTTACTAAGACCGGAAGTACGCAGCAGGGCTTTTTGACACGTGGGTAATCTACGCTGTGTCTGTCCCTAGGCTCGAAGCGATTCTTGTACAAACAGCTGTAGCAGCCGAACATGAAGGAACTTCCGTTCTTGCTAGGCTGCACGGGCGTAGTCATGGCCTGTGCGGTGATTTTCTTGCGCGCTTTACGGAGGGAGCTGCATGGCATGCGAATTCAACTGAACACCCTCGTGGAGCGGGGGGGG